ATAATAATAATAATAATAATAATAATTAATCAGAGTCCACTATGCCTCTTCAAAAAATAACTGGTAAAAGTCAAATCACTAGAAGAAGGTAGGCTTCTCAATCAGAACTAAAACAAATGAGGAAAGAATCTGTGAGAGTAACTTAATGACAGGCAAAATTTTCTTGGCATTTTGACTAAGTCATAGCAGAGAATAAAAAAATTGCATAATAAAAGACCCAGGTACATCAGTCAGTGCTTCATGCCTTGGAGAGACAGAACAGATGCTACTAAGAGAGAAGGAATAACTTCCCCACTAAATAAATAAATAAAAATGCCAGCATCCTATTTATATACTTAGCTTCCACTTTTTGAAAACAATGCTCTTGTAAGCTGTATCAGGTATGCTTTTTGGTTTCATTTTTTAAACAGAGGTGGCTTAAAATTGGATCAAGCTGTCAAGTAGATGGGAAGATTTATGAGGATCATGTACATAGGATCATTTACTAAGGAAATGAAATGACACCAACAGTGCTACTGATACACTGAAACATCTGAAGTTGTATCATCTGTATGTCTCTGTGTGGTAAGTCATATCGAAGCCTGTAGCACAGCCTAAGGAAATAGAAACACCTTTAGGCTCTGCACTCCTGCCTTCAGCCTTTCAGCTGCTTAGGACAAGCTACAGGGCTCACAGACAAGTTGTGTCAATAGACTCATACATTTCTTTCCTGGAAATGGAATCTATGATGCAGAAGTCAAGATCACACTTAAGGGAGAAGAAGGAGCTCTTGTTACAACCTGTAGGACTCTGAGCTCCAGAAGAGATCAACAGCTCACTCTCATAGCACCATTAAAGAGAGAAGCTAACAGCATTACCAATGAAGATGAACAAACTTTCCTCTGAAAGTGTGATTTTGAGTTGTTCATTTTCACGGTATGCTGTGTTCTGAGTTTATGTACCATAATCAACTTCATACACATGCACATTTACATACATAGCTGATGTACAGACCTGCAGAACAGCCCTAAAAGAAACAAGTTAGTACAAGTTCAGCATTCATCAGACAAGGTCTAACATGTACTAGTTTTCTCCCCAATTCTATTGTTTAAAGTTTAGATGCGGTATTAATACAGCACCAGAGTTCCCTTTAGGTTATAAAAAAGCATATGGTCTGTCATATAAACTACCACGTTCTGCACTAGGAAGCACACATAGAAGTGGCATGCTGTTTTTAAAATCTTATAAAGAAACTGGAGCAGTACTGACTACTGTATTATTTTGCCATACAGTGAGCTTACCTTCTTTTTCACAACCATCTTACTTGTGTTAAAACATTGCCTTTTATTATTTTATTGCCTTTAATTGCACATAACACAGAGCTACATTCAAACTGTTCTTTCCTGCTTCTACTGCACAGTCATCATAGATTTTACTCCATTTTTTTCATGAAGGGGTTAATGCTTTGAAGTGAGCTGATGTAGTAACAGCTGCTGAAACCCCACAGCCAAGAGTTAGAGGTGACCAGCCCAGCAGTACTGTGCTGGAAAAGCTGGCAAGTAGCAGCAGAAATGTAAAGCAAACTGATTGTGTAGTCAGTATTTAGAACGGACCAGCACATGAACAGCAAGGACTTCTTGGAATTGTGAGAAATTTGTATGGCCAGCATCTGGTTCACATCTTGAAGAGAGTATTTTTCTTTGGTTTGGGTGGGTTTTTTTGTTTGCTTGTTTTTTTAAATGAGAAAGCTAGAGCTACTATAAAAAACAAAGTGTAATTAGGTGCAACACAGTATGCAACACACAGTTGTACCACGCCAGATCAAAGTAACGTAAGCTCCGTAATCTTGCTCTGTCAGCGGCCAACAGCAAATATATAACGTAAAGCGTAAAAGGGAACATACTCCACTGCTTCTCTACTATTCTCTCTCATCTTCCATGGATTTACTACCATCGGACTCTAAGCCAGAGGCAGCATTCAATGGCTTTTTCTTCTACTAACTTGCTTGGTGTTAAGTCACATTAATATCTGTAGTGCTCTGTGGTACCAAATTCCACAGCTTAACAATGCTGCAAGTTAACTACGTCCCTTCACTCTGAGCAGGCCACCTGCTCCTTTCTCCCCCCACTTTTAATAGGTAAAGACAGTGAACAACTGTTCTCTATTCACCCTCCCTACGCCACTAACAACTTTATCAATTCTTTTGTGTTCTTTCTTTTCCTCAAGCAGTGTCTTCCAGCAGAGGAGACCTAGGCTAAATAGTTCTTCCTGACGTGGAGAGAAGTTCTTTGAAGTCCTGGTCTCCTCATTTTAAAAGGATATCACAGGGAGAAGTGTGATAACTATGATCACACAGAACTGAAGACTCAAAAACAACAGAAAGTTATAGAATGGCACATATTCTGCTTTATTCTCTATTTCTGTTCTAATTCTTCACACTTGGTTTGCTTTACTGAATGCCACTAAGCATTGAGCTGACATTTTCCAAGAATCATAACAGCTCTAAGATCATCCTTCTGTAGTATTAACTAGTAGAGAACCCATCACTGGAAATGTAAATCAGGAATGTTCTCTCTCCAAGTAATTGCTGTGCATTTAATCAGCACTGAATTCCACAGGCCATTTTAGTTGCCCACTAATAGGAAGTCCTTTTCCAACAATGAACACTTAACAGTTTAAACAGAGAAACCAAGATTTTAAATATACAGAGTTTTGAGTTTACTTTCTAGGTAAACACAGTTCTGCTTCAGATAAGGATTTTCACCTAGCTTTCAAAGAGGCTGTTTCAAAGTCAGCCTCCAGATGGAAACAGTGATGCACTCATTAAAATAGCGTGACAGGGAGTTTGTAGCCACTAAAATCTTAATAATTATTTTCTCAGAACCAATAATGTTTTGGCAATCTTTCCAGGATAAAAATCACACTAATTTCCAATAAAGAAGCCACATTCATGGTTATAGCAGACAGTTCATGAAGACCATGGGAGCAAAATTTGTAAGAAATTTCAACCAACCTTGAGATCGCAAGTGGTGTTAAGCAGCAAATTTGAAGGTTTGAGGTCACGATGAAGCACATTGGCTGAATGGATATATTTTAACCCTCTCAGAATCTGGTAAAGGAAATAACAAATGTGGTCGTTGCTGAGGTGTTGAGTCTTTAAGAGCTTGTAAAGATCTGTCTCCATGAGATCTTGCACAATGTATCTGTAAGGCATCAGATGTAAGGCAGAAAACCAAATACGGTGTCATGCTAGATACCAGCACACGGCACCAGACACCAGCACACGGCACCAGACACCAGCACACGGCACCAGATGAAACTTCTGTTACCATTTTTCTTTCTTGTTTGTTTCATGACAATTATGAAACTATGTAGTTGCTTCTTGCTTTACAAGTTTTGAGTCAGATCAGTCCTGTTACATGATGCAGCCCTTTACAGAATTAAGGAGCACCAGCATGTAGTCAGTCCTCTCATCATAAATTAAGCTGTCTCACTCTAAACTATGCCTTGTATCTCAGGTAGAGTCTTCCAGCTAAAGACTACTTTGTATGTTAGATATGCACATGAAGTCATACCCACACAAAGTCAATTTACAATAATATAAGCCAACTTTTATTATATTTAGTAAGGAAAAGGATGAAAGAGAAATAATCAAAACAGAGAAGGTAGCCATCACTAACTATGCAGAATAACTTAAACCTTTGGAAGGATACACATCTTTCATTTGTTCAATAGTTGGAGCTCTGATAATATCATTTATTCCGATAATATTCTCATGCCTGAAGCGCAGGAGGATCTTAATCTCTCTCAGAGTTCTCTGGCAGTACGTCTGATGCTCAAAAGGACTGATTTTCTTTATAGCAACTCGAACTTTGTTGACATTATCATAGGCAGAACTAGAAGAGAATCAATAACATTAGTTACAAGGAATATTACATTAATTCAATTCAGGAAGTAAGAATATGAATTCAGTCGAATACAAGGGCAGTGCATTTATTTGGTTTACATTTCTTTTTATCAAATGAAGAGAGGGCACAGTGGCGTGTATTAGTTTGATGAACAGATAAAATACTGTTGTGCTATCACCAGCCTATTTGGGTATCCAAAAGTCATTAGCATTCCCAACTGACTTAGGGTCTGCTGATTCCCAGGTACCTGAACACAGAAAGAAATATTCATCTTCTGTATCAGCCTGTGCAACAAACAAGTTTGATACTTTTTCTATATGCTGTAATCAATAAGTTGTTTGACAGAAAAAGTTAATCTTGAGTTAACCCATTCACTTTAGGGCACAGAAAAGCCTTCAGAAATCATCTTCAAGCAGCAGAATTCCACATCCTATGTCTAACCCCTGCAAGTAATTCCAGTTACCACAACCTTTTACTCCTGCATCAAGCTGTGTTGTTGGCACCTCCATGAAGAACAGACACGGAAGAACAAAAGGGATGGAGAATTTGTGAAAACACCTTTCCAAGTGCAAGTCCAAAGAATAGAGATCAAGAAGTGAAAGAACAGATCAGACTACACACACGAAGCAAAAGCAGCAGTACAAGGTAATATGGTGCTATTGACCCACGTTAACAAACTCCCTGCCTGTTACATTCACAGCACTGTGGTTTCAGAAGCTCCGAACAGCGTTCCCAGCTATTCCAATAAAGCAGCATTTCTGTTCAAAACATCTATGCATTTATGAAGAATATCACAGTCTGGGCCTAGTAAAAAGGCTCTGTAAAACATACATCATTTTCTAAAATTTGGACTCAGGTTATTGTTTAGTAAAAGTGTTATGAACCCTTGCAAATTTTAAGTTGTTTTCTATGGTCTTGCTTATATGAATGACAAAGCATCTAATGATAATAACTTCTCTTTGTATTAAAAGTATATGGTAATTTAATAAATTGCAATTTAAATGTATATATATGATTCTCGTTCCTTTCAAATTTCTTCTTGCTCACTACCACATTGTTTGGAAATTTAAAAATAATCAAGCCTACATTTCTGTTAGTCTCAACTATCTCAGAACAATATAAACGTACTAGCCAAACAGGCTTTACAGTCCACCAATTTTCTGTAATCGAGTCCCAGAACATTCTTTGAAGCCTTCCTAACTGGGTCTCACTCTGCTGAGATACCCAGGTATCTAGTGATCAGGTAAAGCAGAATGAAATATGAAAATCCAATTAGAAAAGGAGAACTAAAAGGAATTCAAATGCCTGGCCATGTCAAGCTGCTTCTACCACTAAGCAGATTTATGGTGCAACAAGGAGTTTTTGAGACAGTACTGTTACCACTGTATGCAAAAGTGTTTAACATTTCTCACTTTCATTATTAAAAATGACATAGAATTTGTGCTGCCAGTAAGATCTTCCTACAGCTCATGCATATGTAGTGACATCCTTTTTGCATGATTTTTCTGCAGAATCCCTTTGACCTGTCTGCATCCGTAACTCTGGTCTCTAACCACAGACAGACTGCACAAGTTACTTGCCTGGAGAAACACTGAACTCAAATGCTCCACAGGGTGCTCTGCAATTCCACATGCTAAGCAAGTATTCATTACAGCTGTTGCTCTTACATATGTATAGATAATACATTAGCAGTTCATAAGTCCCAAAACAGATAATAACAAAGTGCCTTAAGTAGAACTTGGCATAGCCTTCAAGAGCACTTCATCTTCAGCAATTTTCTTAGTTAATCAGTTAATCACCTGCGGTGTTTACGATATACCAGTAAGGTAAGTCACAAGCAGAAAACAAAACTAGAAATAATTCCAAAGCGTGAACCACCTGTATTTAGGAAAGAAATTAAAGATTATTGTGGATCATTTTATCATTATAAACAAACCTCCTACCTCCTTCTTTGTATTGACTTAAGCATATTTTTTCTCCCACAATGCTGCTTAAATAAAAGCTCCTAATCTCTTATAATATTTGATAAATCTCTAAGTTATTGCTTCTTAAGCAGAGGGTGGTTATTGATGAAAAACATGCATCTTCCCTTGTACAGATTCGATAAACTTGAATCCATCAATTAAATATGCCAAGATTTGCTCTCTTGTCGCTGTTCCACTTACAGTTCTTGAAGCATTTTCTTAGCAAAAGGTTTATGCTGTTATTTAAAAAAGGGTGGGTAATTTTGCTTTCAGATGGTTCAACTATAAAACAGATGATTCAGTGTGGAAAAAAGCTGACTATTTGCAGTAAAGATGCAATCAATTTCCTCTCCAGTGTACATTCTGCATACAGTCATTTTTCTGTTCGTATCAGAAGATCTCACCACACTAATGTAGCTACGCATGCATTGCTGTTACCACTGCAAAGCCTCAGCTAAGGAGAGCAAAACCAAAATACTACCTAGTTGAAACATTAAAAGGGACTCTGGATTTATTTCTGTTGTCACACTTGCTGAAATATGAGCTTTTCCTGTAACTCGATTAAAAATACGAAATATTATCTCAGTTCCTATGAGCAAGAAGCTAATGGTACAAGTAGTTAGGTACACTTGCTTATGCACAGTATTTTAAGTATCATGCATAATACAGGCACACAGAGAACCTGTATTATAAAGCTAACAACCAGTCACATTCTCAGAATCGCAGCCCACAAAGCAAATATGGCTTTGAGTAAACTCTGTGACCCTTTAAAACACCAGTGCTTTTTCAGTTCAACACATGCAAGAGAAAACTGTAAGTGCTACATATTAGTCTGAACTTCAGGAGAGCTAAGGAGTTGTTTTCTCTCACACACATATGCTACAAGCAGACACCTATTTGGCCTATGAAAACACAGAGCAACATCGATTTCACTACCTAGGAAACACAGTAAACTAATAAAATTGTCCTTTCTAGGTCAGACTGAACCAATTCCCAAAGCTTTCCCTGTTCCTCACAATCTGCATCCAACCACCATCTACCATCAACACCAGATTTCCCCACTACTCTCCAAAACTCTGCTGAGAAATACGCTGCTCACAGACCGTCTCCATTTGTAGTGTTCGCAAATGAAACAACTATAAAAAGTGCAAATCCAAACCCTGGAGGCATTAACTCACTGCAGTTAATATCACAGCTTACTTATCACTTAATGCAGGATTCGTCTCGCTTAGCCTTAGCTGGCATTAGAGATCTAATTTTACGACTAATAATCGCCTGTGCTCCCCCTACAGTCCCAGAAGGAGCAGCTCGACAGAAACACCCATCCACACCCTGCCCTCAATTGGGATTATTTGCATTCTGGAAGCGCAGTCCCAGTGCACACAGTCCAGCCTAGCTGTCCAGACTTACAGCTTCCACTACATCTCACAACAACTGTTTCTAATTCCACTGAAGCAGTTAACTGGGACTCCTAAAGACAAGGACCTTCTATTATCTAGACTTCTTTCCAGAGAAGATAAAAATCTGGGAAGTGGGAATAACCGTTCACATACTAACAACTTTTAGAGTGCTAATTTATAGCTTTTAGTTTCTAATCATTAACCACATGTATCAACCACTGCAGGTAGAACCTTCCCTTTAACAGCCTGTGTGTTATTCACATTATGATTAATCTAGCTACTGATACTTTAAATATTCAGAAGGAAGGATTTATTTCCACCCCAACGATGTGCAGCTTCACAAGCTGATGCAACCATTCAGCTGTGAGTGCTATTTATCAGCAATGTGATAAATTTAAATATAGATTTTGCAACTGCTCAACTCCAGTATCCACAACATTATTCCTATTTCAAGCTGTGGTTACTATCCTGTGACAACCTGCAATAGCACCATTTAGATACTTTTGAGACGCTACGTGAGAATCAATACAAGCTCTAGCAGTACAGTTTATCATTCCTAATATTAAGTATCTTGTAAATACATAATGAAGTTTTGACTAAGTAAAACATGGTGCACAGCTGTACAAATTAAAGAAATGAGCATTTATAACCCCAGAAGTTGCACCACACAACTTTTAAAGCCAGTATTTTACCCTTCTACTGCTCCGGTACCAACTTCCTTTATAAAAAGAAGTCCAGGATGGGACTGCTTCCAAACACAGTGACCAGAACGTGCACCGCAGTGCCTGAGCAGCCTACAGAAAACAGCACATCAATGGCCAAGATGAACCTCTGACGTGCAGCCCCTCTCCCATTAATTCCTTCTCAAGGAAGGAAAGCTTTTCACCACACAGAGCGGGACGAGTGCCAGAGCTGAGCTCCTTCTACCCACAATGGCTGCTGCATGTTCTCCCATCCATTTCTATTCTTCACATGTTTCATTTCGGAGCAGAACTGGAACAAGTGTGAGCACGCTGCAGCTGCCGGGAGGAAAGGAGCCAGCTCCTGGCAGTGGTTACATCCCACAGAGGGCTGTTTCTTCATATAACCATTGAAAAACAACTGCCGCCTCTGTCGGCACCCTCATCCTCAGTACACTTCTCTGCCACGCTGCCTGAAGGCTCTACCCCATCATGGGATATTCTTACAACACTTCTAGGATTATCCACCTTAGGGCTGTTTTACGGCCGCTTTCAGCATATGCATACACACACATAAAAATACACAGTGCTACCGGCAAACATCCTAATTACAGCTCCAAATAAAAGACTGATTTGGAGTTTAAAAGGGGTGTTTTATCAGAAGCTTTGCGTTGCTGTGGAAACAAGATTCCAAGGGCATAGCCAAGGATAACAATCTTTCTGAAATATTGAATAATTCTGCCTGCAACCAGGAGAGGAAAGGCAAAAGTAATTCCCAGCAAACAAGCTGATCTACGAAGATCTTTAATCTTTTTGTTCATTTGGCTCAATCTCAGACATTTCCACAACATGCTGACATTTATCAAGTTACAACGCAAACAGCTTAAACTTATTTTTAAGACTGCTGTAAGAAAAAATAATGCAGTATTATGATATAGTAATAACCAGCAGTACCATAACAGCCTGCTCACCACAGTTTTGGGGGGTGAGGGATGGTGGTGTTATGGGTGCAGACTTGTGGAGGGGACTGTTGGGTATTTTGTTTGTTTGGGTTTTTTTGAGGGTTATTTTATAATCAAATGTTACTCCTTTCAGATTTTTCAGAATAATTAGTATCTGATTCTAGATTATTAAAATACAGGGAGCAGCTACAGTTTATTATGAGAAAAGACTGGAAAAAAGGATTAAAGTATTCAAAGACAGTTTCCAATTGAGGACATTCAGTAATGTGTCATTTTTATACCACTGAATATACTTTTTGTCCTCAACTGTAAACACCTACAGTTACTACAAATACTTGTTACTTTGTTCCATTTATTCATAATATTTTTGAAGACAAATAAGTATATTATTCATTAGATGTTTTTTATTAGCACTAACTTACAAAATCAGCACCTGGTTTTAAAAGGTACATGTGCCTATTCATAGTAAGATATATTTGCCTTGTTTTGACAGACCAAGTTTATGAAAAGATCACCCATGTCTCGCTCAAGAGTTTTTGTTTTGATTTATTAGCTTTCTCTAGAGAGGATCTCAATAACAGAACATCTCCCTGGCTTCTCAGCTTCCTCAGAATTCAGGAAATAAACTATAGAAACAAGGGTTTCTTAATGCACCTCTGCTTTTCTCCACTAAAGATTTAGTTTTATTGACTGCAGGAAAGTCAGTAGATCCATGAAAACGGAGAGACCTAATATTAGATTCTTAAAAAAATTAAACCAAAAAACAACTCAGCCTTGAGGCTCCAGTTCCTTTTCAAGCTACGAAAATATTATAATAACTTTAAGAACAC